GTGATTCAAAATCTTTTATAAATTACATAGAATGAACGTAAAATGAACATAGAATGAAAGTAATTTAAGTCAACGTTATGATAATAAAACATTTTTATAAAATGAGAAGTACTCTATAAATTTCTAATTTTACTTTACATTATTCATCGCTACAGCTTTATAAATGTTTAATGTTTACCTAATTCGCGAATTTAATTTGCAGAATTTATAAATTTTTTAATTGACAATTACATTGAATTTAAACTACTTTTAAGGTTTAACAATAATTTCACTAACTTTGAAACTAACTAATATTTATTTACAATTTTTAAATCATAAATAATTTGTATTATTTTTACTAACTTTTTATTATTAGTTTTACTAACAATTAAGATATACAATAAATATATCATACACAATACACAATGAATATCACCATTTACTATCATTACATAATATAAAATATTAAGATTTATTTATTACTAGGAATACATAGTATAGAATCTACAAATACTTCAACATCAATTTTCTATGACAAAAATTATTCTAATAACACCTTACTCTTCGCTGCAGCAAAATTAGCACTTACCATGTAACATCAAAAATAAATTATTCTAACTGCACATTCCGCATAAAATTTACTTCATTTTCCAGAGAAAGAATCACCTTTTATTTTTTTTACCACTGACATCGTTTACCATTTTAACTTCTGAAATGGCCTTGGTCCTTAGAAAAGTGGTCCACGAGAAAGGTGGCAAAACGGGAATGTGAAGTTTGAACCGACGTTTCGCCACTATGTATGCTGCAAATTATTTTGTATCATTACAGCCGGTACCGCAATGTTCATTGCACAATTGCACGTCGAATGCACGTGGATTCAAATGAATCGCCGATCGAAATATTCTTGTACAACGCAATCATTCCGTCGATTTAATGCAATACTGATTCAACTAATCGACACTTGATTCACTTAATATCTTTCGTGTTTGAGAACTTTTTTCTTGTTGTAATGTGTTTTAGAATTGTTGAGTATTCTTTAACAGGAACTTTAATATGATTAATAACTTTATTAGAAATTTGTATGTTTTAATACAAAATTGTTTAGTATTCTTTAGTAAAAGATGTTATCATTTTTTAATGAAATGTTTCTATGAAAGATATTAATGAATATTTACAAGTTAAAATAACAAGACATTGATATTTACTCAATAATATTAAAACTATCAGTGAAGGTTGCACTTACTTTTAAATTAAAAATAAATACTGAAATGAAAAAATAAATGAAAAATACTGAATAAATAAAGAATGAGACGTGTTGCAAATATTCTCTGATTGAATAAAAATTATGATTGATAATTTTAATGTGAAAAACTAGAATAACAATATATTCTGTATGTTACGTTTTATGTATGTTGTGCCAGTTAAAGATTGACATAATAATTACAACAATATTAAATTTCAAACACTTGACGAAACAACAAATCTGACGATATTGAATTTGAAAGATTTATGATCAACATGATGAATTTATCAAAAGTGCAATAAATGTATATAAAAGTTTATAAATCGTGTTTACGAATGAGACGCCCGATAACGCGAAGAAAATGGCGGAGTCACCATTTTAAACTCGCTTCGTGTAGAAGAAGATGGCTGATTGCATTTAACACGCTGATTGCTGCGATCACCGGTGAGTGGCATCATAAATTTGATATACCACTGGTTGAAGGAAATTAAAGAAAAATAATTATCGGAAGTTCTAACAATAAGGAGCATTAATATTATATTAATTTCGTAAGGTACCAATTGTGAAGTTTAAATTAAGGAATGGAAATATCGTAATCAGAATAATAATAATCGCAGTCTGTCATGTGCTACATATCGTTTGTATTGTTGCATATAACGAGTTAATAATTAGCTTATTAATGTCTTATTACACACGTCTATATTCACTGTGGTAATTAACGTGTTAATTCGTGGCGTTGGTGGACATTGAATCCGTAGATGGTTTATCTACTGGCAAAGTAGATATAGGCATGCTTAATACAGCACACGGTAGCATGAATTAATAACATTCAGAATTATTCTTATTATTTAACATGTTGGCTGTCGTATTGAAAATGGACGTTTTAGTAAGATGTATTGAAACTTTAATTATAAATAGCTAACTTGAAATAAATAATTTTAAAAGCAAAAACAGTTTATTATCGTATTGCAGCTTTCAGTTTTCATCGTCATGCAGATATTACTAACAAAATAGAAATATTATTTAATATTTTGCGTGGCTTTATTTCATTTTAATTTTTATTGTTTTTTATTGATTAAGTATCTACTTATGGACGATTTGTATGGCAGTCAAGGTAATATTTTTATTAATATTAATTTTAATAATATACTTTTATTTTTTGCAGTATTCTTTTTGACCAAACTAAGAATATGGAGATGGTAACTTTCATATTTGTTACATAACTCACAAGTAGATTCTATTTAAACTCTACAACAGTATGTTACCATTTCTGTGAGAAAATATATTCTTCTCCCATCAACTTTCCTATTAAATAATTAAAAATATCATCTTTACAAAGAGTGAAGCAAACTGCGAGAAATGACTGAATAGAAGACTATTGAACAATTTCAGCTGCCTAATAATTCGGTACCCAAGAATTCATTACGTGAACAGAACCAGTTACAATATGTACGACAGTTACAATATTACACTATGTACAACAGTACAATATTAAATATCTATAATAGCGAATTATGTTACACAATAAAGTGTCGCTAAGTAAACCAAAAATTGCAAGAGAAAGCATCGAGTGTCCATCGTTACACCACATCGGTTTCTCGCGTTCCCGATGTTAAACGAGAAAGGCGAATCGTCTGGCCTTTTGCTCGATGCTTCTACGGGCTGCGCATATCTATCTGCACAACAGGGCCAGCAACTCCATCGCAAGAGCGCGATAAAATGCAAGGTAGAAGAAGGACGAGCGAACGAAGACGAGAAGGAACCGTTCGGTAAGAAGGCTGGAGAACGCGAAAAGAAGACAAAAGGAGCGTGGCTGCGATGCTGAAGAGGAGGGAGAGCGAGTAAAGAAAGAGGGGCGACGCAGAGTAGGAGAGGCGAGGGGAGGGTAAAAGGATATTCGTCGTAATTAAGTCCCTCCGCTTCTTCAACTCGATGCGGCACGTTTCTGCAGTGAAACGAGGACATCGAGTTGCACAGTCGAAGAAGGAGGAAGCTCTCGCTGTAGGTGCAAGAGAGAAAAGGACGAAGCCAGCTGAGAAGGAACAGGAGTAGGAGCGAAAAAAGGAGGCACGACGATCGGGCAATAAATAATATAGGAGAAAAAGGCGATCGCCTGCAACATTCTGCTCAAATGTTAAATAGGTATCAATTTAACGTTCGCCAATCGGTGAGCAGGTAGGCGGATCCAGGAGGACAAGGCAAAGTAGATATAGGCATGCTTAATACAGCACACGGTAGCATGAATTAATAACATTCAGAATTATTCTTATTATTTAACATGTTGGCTGTCGTATTGAAAATGGACGTTTTAGTAAGATGTATTGAAACTTTAATTATAAATAGCTAACTTGAAATAAATAATTTTAAAAGCAAAAACAGTTTATTATCGTATTGCAGCTTTCAGTTTTCATCGTCATGCAGATATTACTAACAAAATAGAAATATTATTTAATATTTTGCGTGGCTTTATTTCATTTTAATTTTTATTGTTTTTTATTGATTAAGTATCTACTTATGGACGATTTGTATGGCAGTCAAGGTAATATTTTTATTAATATTAATTTTAATAATATACTTTTATTTTTTGCAGTATTCTTTTTGACCAAACTAAGAATATGGAGATGGTAACTTTCATATTTGTTACATAACTCACAAGTAGATTCTATTTAAACTCTACAACAGTATGTTACCATTTCTGTGAGAAAATATATTCTTCTCCCATCAACTTTCCTATTAAATAATTAAAAATATCATCTTTACAAAGAGTGAAGCAAACTGCGAGAAATGACTGAATAGAAGACTATTGAACAATTTCAGCTGCCTAATAATTCGGTACCCAAGAATTCATTACGTGAACAGAACCAGTTACAATATGTACGACAGTTACAATATTACACTATGTACAACAGTACAATATTAAATATCTATAATAGCGAATTATGTTACACAATAAAGTGTCGCTAAGTAAACCAAAAATTGCAAGAGAAAGCATCGAGTGTCCATCGTTACACCACATCGGTTTCTCGCGTTCCCGATGTTAAACGAGAAAGGCGAATCGTCTGGCCTTTTGCTCGATGCTTCTACGGGCTGCGCATATCTATCTGCACAACAGGGCCAGCAACTCCATCGCAAGAGCGCGATAAAATGCAAGGTAGAAGAAGGACGAGCGAACGAAGACGAGAAGGAACCGTTCGGTAAGAAGGCTGGAGAACGCGAAAAGAAGACAAAAGGAGCGTGGCTGCGATGCTGAAGAGGAGGGAGAGCGAGTAAAGAAAGAGGGGCGACGCAGAGTAGGAGAGGCGAGGGGAGGGTAAAAGGATATTCGTCGTAATTAAGTCCCTCCGCTTCTTCAACTCGATGCGGCACGTTTCTGCAGTGAAACGAGGACATCGAGTTGCACAGTCGAAGAAGGAGGAAGCTCTCGCTGTAGGTGCAAGAGAGAAAAGGACGAAGCCAGCTGAGAAGGAACAGGAGTAGGAGCGAAAAAAGGAGGCACGACGATCGGGCAATAAATAATATAGGAGAAAAAGGCGATCGCCTGCAACATTCTGCTCAAATGTTAAATAGGTATCAATTTAACGTTCGCCAATCGGTGAGCAGGTAGGCGGATCCAGGAGGACAAGGATTGGTCAGAGGCGTCGTGGTAGGCGATGCCGCACGCCGGGACGCCGGGTCCCTGCTCGAGTCGTCGCAGAACCATGGGTAGGGATGAACCATCCGGTTTCTCTGGTTCCCTCACAACGTCCCGTCTCTCTCGTCGTGAACGACCTGGATTCACGTCCCAACTCACCACGGATCCAGTTCCGTACGGGAAACGCTGCCCTTTTTCCAATTATAGTACCACGTGAATCGTTCGCGTCATCCTTCCGTTTCAGTCCGCGTGTTCGTTGTCATTTTTCATTCAGGAATCGATTGCGATATGTCCAGGGATTCCAATCCACCTGGACGTCGAATTTTGCTCGATCGCTGTAGCGCCAGTTTCGTTTCGTTGATCGGGATTTAAACACCCTTGATCCTTCGTCACGAACGATCTAGTTCGATGTTTTGGGATCGACAGTGAACAGTGACTAAATGACAGGCAAATAATAGTGTAGTTGGCTCGGTATGTGAACTTGTGCTACATGGATGAGAGGGAATTATCGGTGTTTTACGAGTGAGCTTTTTAAAACGTCTATTAGAGTGATTATTTTGGTCAAAAACTTGGACGCTACGGTCGCAACATGGCCGTCAAATGGATCGGATCCGATGGACCGAATGTCGGGTGAAGATCATTCAGGACGAACCTTTGTAAACTTAGCAATCGTCTTAGCAATCTTTTATAATTACTAATTCGTTAAGAATTCAGCAGTAGTTATCGGAAAATAGGAGGCGCAGGATGAGCATTCAAAACGGTTTCCGGTGAACAAGCAACTTGTATAGTTTCAAAACAGTCGGAAACAATTAGGATCATCCGAAGAATTAGTTGGAAGAACCATGTCGGTTCACGGCGACAGCGACGCGGACGCGACGGAGGAGATCAACGTGGACGATTCGGATTCCGGAAGTTGTAGTCCGCACAATTACGCCCACGACAATCGTCGTCTACCGCAGGAGCACTCGGAATGCTCAAATTCCCCTCCGCCGAGTCAAACGAGCTCGAGAACATTGCAAAACGAGTCTCCTAGGAGTCACCCGTTCAGTATAAGTCGTTTACTGGGTGACAATAGGTCCCAGAACCGGAAGAGCCCCTCCTCCGAGGATCTGGACAGCGACAAGGAACGCAAATGGTCTTGGGAAGAGAGCAACAATAACGTGGGCTCGTCGATGACCTTGGACGACGGTAGGCGATCGTGGGGCCACGAAATCGAAGAGAAACTGTCCGAGAAGGATGACGACGACACCGGAAGTACCGCTGAAACGCAGACGAACTCTTCGTCGTCGGTTCACTGCACCAGCACGGCGGATTTGTTGGCGCCGTTCAGACTTTTCCCAGCCGGATCGGGACTGATATACACCGGCGGAGGCGTAATCAGGGTCCCTGCCCATCGACCACCCGGTGCTAATGGGACACCAACGGGTGCTCTGCCCGCACAGGCGTTGATACCACCATGGAGTTTACAAGCTCTTCAACATAGCCAACAGCAAGCGGCGGCGGCTGGTCTTCATAGGGCCAGCTTGTTGGCGAACCTTGCAGCACATCCGCTCCAGGGACACCCACACCTGAAGGACAGGTTGGCAGGTAAGAGAATCATGGGACACTGACGAGTTCAACGGAGATTTAGGGTCCCCGATGGGATCGAAAATCTCCTGTCCGGGTTATTATTTATCGTGCGGAACTGTTGATGGGATGGACGTTGATTTATTGCGATGGTGCATATGAAACGTTTTTTGAAACTATTTCCTGATATAACTTTCTAAGTAGGTCGATAGTATTCTGTTGCAAGTTTAGATATCATACATGATATCTTTTATATTTGTTATAACTGGATTATGGATGTTCGTGTATGTATGATTTGAAGTCTGCAGAACGTAAATAGATTATGTGTACAGTTTATGAGGTCCACAAATTATGGATTTAATGATTTAGATTTATTTCGTAGACTTTAATATGTTGTGCATGTATGAACATCTGCAGGTTAGATACAAAGCATTAGTTTCTTCAGCAAATAAAATTTGTATATTGCTGTTATACAGAGTGTATTGCAGTTATGTATAGAGAGTCTCAATTGAGTTTGAGTGATTACATTTCAGATTTTATATGAATTTAGAATTCAGATTATGCACGTTGTAAAAATTTGTATAGAGTGTTAGGGAAATGAATAAATGTTCTTTCAAGTACTTTGGGGAACATTTTCAGTAAGTAATAATCCCAAGGATATATTAATAATGAATTTTTATGAAACTATATGGCATAAATAAAAATACTGCACAGTAGAGGTTCAATTATCCCAATTATAGGTGATTTATCATAATTTTTAATTTTACTAAATGTTTAATTTTGAACTTTACAATATTCCCCTTTGCAGTTTTAAATTTTATCATATACCTCAGATTAACAATTCTAAATTTTATCATATATGTCAGGTTAATAATTTTAAATTTGATCACATATCCCGTGTTTATAATTCTAAATTTTACCACATTCCTACTTAGTGATTTATAGTGATTTGCATGTTTGTCCAAATGGTTCTGAATATACGATATATCCAGCTGATATGTTTAGAAGAGGTTTCTCGAAAACAGGGTAATTATGCGTCGCATAGGAAGCAACTTTCCTTATCAGCTGTCCAACATTTGTTTTGATCGTTAATTAGCATGTAGACACGTTTGAGGATAGCTAATTTCATTTGTCTTTTTTTGCTCCCTACTACGTTACGCACAGTATCACTTTGTGTTAATTAATCACGAGAACAAGTAAATTTACTTAAAGATGGAAACAGAGTAATAAACTTTATAATGTATTCGAAACACGAGCTGTGGCTAATGGTGCGTTTCTAAAATAATTACAATTAAGAATTTACGCCATTGGCGTAAGTAAGTAGGGGATAAAGTCGCTTTCCTCTACAATGCACTGTGATCCGCATTGAATTAGTTGATACAACGCTTGGAAATATATTGCGTGATTATAAAACGCATGGTGATATAACACGTGACAATTTAACGCACAAATATGTAACACGAGAAATAACTAATACATAACTATTTAACTTGTGCACAACGCGTGGTGATACGTAGCGATATAACGCGAGGCGATCTAACGAGTAGCGATATAACGTGTGGTGAAATAGCGCATAGCAGTTCAGCGTGTAGTAATATATCGCGATGATTTAATGTGTAGAAATTCAATATATGGCAATATAATTCGTGGAGGTTTAACGCGAGGTGATATAACATGTAGTTATACAGTTCGTGGCGATTTAACGGGTGGTGGTTTAATACGTAACTATACAACTCTTATCGATTTAACGTGTGAAAATTTAACGCGCAGAAATTTAATGAGTAGCTATACAATTAGAGGCGATATAACGCGTGGTAATTTAACGCGTTGTTATACAGCTCGTGGCGATTTAGCGCGTGGTGATTTAATGCGTAGCTATACAACTCGTGTCGATTTAACGCATGAAAATGTAACGCGCAGAAATCTAATGAGTAGCTATTGTATAATCAGTGGCGATATAACGCGTGGTAATTTAATGCGTAGTTATACAACTCGCGGCGATTTAACGCGTGGTAATCTAACGCGCAGCTATACAACTCGTGTCAATTTAATGCGCAGAAATCTAATAAGTAGCTATACAATTAGTAGCGATATAACACGGAGTTATACAGCTCGTGGCGATATGACGCGTGGTGATTGTATGGTAACGTAACGCGCAGCTATACAACACATGGCAATTTAACGTATCGCTTACATAACTCAAGGCGATTTAACGCGTGGTGATATAACGTATAGTTATCTAACACGTAGCTATACTCGAACAATGCGTGTAGAATTATCGCATAGTAATCTAATGCGTAGTATTACGAGGGGTGATTTAATGCGTGGTAATTTAGCACATATAATGCGTGGCGTATTAATGCGTGGTGATATAACACATAATAATCTAACGCGTAGCTATACAACATGATAGCAATTTAATGTGTGGTGATTTAACAAATGCTAATCTAACATGTGATTATACAGTGAATGGCGATTTAACGCGTGGCAATTTAAGACGTAATAATTTAAATATAGTATAATAATCGTTAATTAAATCAGTTCTCAAAATTTAAATCAGTTTCATCAAAATTCATTTCTCGTTTATTAAATTTTGTGCTAAACTTATAGTATAGGTATACAAAATGGCAACTTTGTTAAATATTTAACTCTTTACGGAACCCGTTAAGGCGACGGATTTTAGATATCTGATTTTCAATTACGAAAATTATTAAGAAGCTTTTGTCAAAATGTATTTTAATCTTCATCAAGATAAAAAATGTATAAGTTATGAATTGATGGTTTTTAACGAACTGACTGTTTTTATCGGACGATTACAAAGTTATACAAAAATACAAAGTGAACAAATTAAGCGTTCGTAAGAAGAGTGTCTTAAAATTTCCAACAATAATCAATTATTTGTTTATTTTTATAATTTTAATTTTACATAAGTGGTCATTAATCAGTTAACTGTGGCGATCTTTTTGCAAAGCTCGTGCCAGTATGTGTCACGATAATCAAGCGATGACATAAATTCTTAGCTCTCAAGAATTTATGAATCCATTTCAAATCATTTACATTTTATATTTGTTTATTTCATTTCGTGTTGACCTCTAAACATTTTAAACATATTACAATTTACGAATATAATTTAGTTTTCGCCAGAATTACAATTTAAATATTAAATTGTAACAAAATTTTTTCGAATGACGGATACAGTCGTCATGACACAAAATTCTGCCACATCTCCATGACGGATATAGTCGTCAAACACACTTAACTGGTTAAACATCCATTCTAGGGTTAAACGCGAGAATTGTTAAGTTTCATCATAGACCTTGTTCGTAAACCACGTTCTGTCAAATTGACTATAACAATTCCATTATTATTCTTTAGTTACGTGAGTTTCATCTGTGAAACAGTAGAGAAATGAGTTCGAGTAGTGTAAACTGTGGTTTCCGTTTTGATGCTCCATGATCGTAGACTGTGAATAATGGAGATTTTAATGCGTGCGATTGCCGCTGTCATCGGGCAAAGGAACAGCACGTGTATACATTATTCATACTTTAATCACTGTAGATATAATTACTTTTTAAAATAAGTGATAATTACAAATGGGTAATTATAATTTTGCAAAATATTCATTATTTATTTTGGCGCGTTGAATGGGGTGCATCGGTAATTGTATAACAAACTCAACTCGTTTTTGTTGTAATTATATGAGTACGTATTTTCAATTATGAAATAAAATTTCAGTTCAAATATGAAATAAAATATTTTAAAATATTATGTGATAGATATCTTTTAGTATAATAGATATTTTTTGTTATAATACAGTAGATATTTTTTTCATAGTTTCATTTAGGTCTGTGAATGTAGATATGAGCAAAACTCGTTTTGTAATTATAGCTGATACTTATTTGTAGATAATCGTATTGTTTAATGAATTAGAAACTATTTGCACTGATTCTTTAAAATAATATACCGAGGGTACGAGTTTTCAGTTTGTTGTTGAATTTTTCTCTTCAAGTGAACAGAAATTTAAACCTTATTCCTTGTTCTCAATTTTTTGTTCTTGTTTAAAATAAACTGTTAATAAAATATTGATGTCACAAGCTTAAATTTACATTTTCATTCGACTTTAGTTTTATATTAATGTTACATTTATTTGTGATTAGTGTTTTAGTTCATATGTACATACAGTTTTAGTTTTGTATTAGTGTTATTGAAAGCTGTTTCCACTGCGACATTTAATGTTTAACAGTATCCCTGGAATATTTAACAATATTCCTGCGTTGACTGTTGCAATGGTCAATAGTGACCTACTTCAGATTTAACTAAATGAAATATGTAAGCCTTTAAATTAATATTATAGGAGCTCGCACATGAAACTTTCTGTGAACTTTAATGTTGCATATTGATTTTGTGATTTTATTATTTGTACCATTAGTTTATTGTCTCTGTCTGGAAAATACTAATTCTAGTATTAAGAATGTTATAGTATTAAACAAAAAAACTAAATCTATCAAATATTACTATCTACTAATATTTTACAGTAATAGTACTTATTCTGATATCAATTTTTAAACATGTTATTTTAATGCTAACAAATATTAATTTCAATAAAAAAAAAACTAATAATTTTGCAGTTTAAATGCTATACATATTAGGTAATATAAAACAGAATTTATAATCATAAAAATTTGTATTAAAAATGTCATAAAACATGTATCTTATGTTATCACATATTTTTTAATATAATGTTAAGAAACTATGGTTCACCTTTTTTAAAGTCAATCAAATCAATCAAAGTAATAAACATAATTCTATTATTAATCTGCTAATAGGTAACATAAAATGGAACTTACAATTGTAAAAGTTGAAAACGACATAAAATATATATCTTATGCTATCACATATTTTATAACATAATGTTAAGAAACTACGCTTCCTCTTTTTTTAAAGACACTCGAATTAATTAAGATACTAAACGTTCGCATAATTATAAAAACACTGGTTTAAACGAATGCAGGCCTGACACA